TATGCAGTGATAAATGGTGTTAAGGGTAAAATGTTAGTAGACACAGGGGCTACGGTTACAATGCTGTCAACAACTTTATGGGAAAAGGTGAAAGACCAATTGTCATTTGAAATCCAAGAAGCTGGAATGAAACTTTACACTGCAGATGGTGATGAATTAAAGTTGGAAGGTAAAGTCAATATCGAAATGGCAATTGGGAAATATCCTATAAAGACATTGGCCTTGGTAGCTGATCTTCAGGTAGAAGGGATTCTGGGATTAGACGTTTCGATATGATAATAGACGCAAAACGGCACCTTTTGTTACATCAGGATGAAAGTATCCCTCTTGTGTATGAAGGAAAAATTGGATGTTATAGAGTTGTAGCAGAAGAAACGGTCAGCATACCACCCCGGAGTGAACTAATTATACCAGGGGAAATATGTACCTTTGACGAGGAGCATCTACAGACCCAAGGTATTGTAGAACCAAGAGAAAAAGAGGAAGCAAATAGGCCATTGACTACTAGAACTTGTGTTCAACCAATGAAGAATTATATTGTGCCAGTGAGATTGTTGAATGTGGAGTCTGAACCAAAGGTGGTGTACAAGAACACAGAGATAGGAACATTTCAAGAAACTGAACAGGTTACCTCAAACTATGCCGGTGAACCAGCAGAGCGGCCCGATATAGACAATCTGTATCAAGAATCTGTAAAGCATCTTACAAAGAAACAAGCAAAAGAAGTGAAATCTTTTCTATGGAAGTATAAATCGCTGTTTGCAAAAGGAACAATGATCTTGGAAAAACTAATATCGTCAATCACAAGATAGACACTGGAAACAACCCGTTCGCCGTTCTCCTGCACACTTGTCAAAGAAAGATATGGAAATAACGAACAGTATTCAATCTCAACGTCCATTAAACAAATATACAAAATAAGAGCAGACCAAACACGGACCTCCGAAACATCAGAGGTGGGGTCAGGTGCCATGGAGGAGTGAGCATCCCCTGCCGACCGGTCACACCCGCCGTGTGCTCGTTGTCATAATCAGGAAATAACGGAAAAAATCCGTGGTCAATTCAGTGTATAAATAATGGACTAACAATTGGTAAGAAAAACGTCAGTCAGCATTTCATTCAATGATAAATTGTATTTCCTGACAAGGTCATTGTATCGATTATAGAATTTACGAAATGATGACTTTAAACGAGACTGTTGATATTCTTGTTTCATCAACTTGCTTGTCAATAATTTACCTCGTTTAAGAAATTGGTCATACGTAGAGCAAAAGAAATTGAAAGGAATATTGATGAGATGCAAGAGTGCAATATCATAGAACCTTCGACAAGTCCATGGGCCTCCCCAATTGTACTAGTGAAAAAGAAGGATAATACTTTCCGATTCTGTGTAGACTATAGACGTCTTAATGCTTGTACAGTTAAAGATGCCTATCCCCTGCCCAGGATTGATGAATCCTTAGAACAATTGTCTGGATACAGTTGGTTCTCCACTCTGGATATGTTTTCCGGGTATTGGCAGGTGGAACTTGATCCAAAGGACAAGCATAAAACGGCTTTCGCCACACGTAATGGTTTGTTTCAGTTCCGGGTTATGCCTTTCGGACTTTGTTGTGCACCAGCCACATTCGAAAGATTAATGGAAATGGTATTGGCAGGATTACAATGGGAGGTTTGTCTGGTCTACCTTGATGATATTATCATCATGGGTAAAACCTTCATTGAAATGATGACCAATTTGGAGAAAGTATTTGACAGACTTCAATCAGCTGGGCTACGACTAAAAGCCAAGAAATGCCATTTGTTCCAGTGATCTGTGAAGTTCTTGGGCCACATTATTTCTGAAGAAGGAATAATGACAGACCCTGAAAAGATAGAAAGTGTGAAGAATTGGCCAGTGCCAACAAGTGCAACGGAGGTGAGGTCCTTCCTTGGTTTATGTGGGTATTATAGAAAGTTTAGCAATAAAGGCCGAATAAGTCTGTACCCTAGTGCCAAAGTGAACTGGAGACGCCAGTTGATTAGAGACCTTTGGTTTAGTAACCTGGACCCTTGGCTGGGCCAGTTGTCCGGGACATTGGTTAGGGGTGAGACAAGTGGTCCGGAGTCAAATTGTCCCTTGAATTTCTTCTGCGAATCATAGTAAATATATTGATTAAGTAAATTGTTTAAATAATCATCGTAATATATTGATTAAGTTTGTGTCCTAGTGGACAAAATACAGATCATTTGTCTAAATTACTGCACTGCAGAAATCCCTGGTGTAACCGGGTACGTTCCCTATTGCCCATATAGACCTCTCGGCTGGGCACACGTTACATTACGTTTAGAGATTGGCCACAGTCAGTTACACTTTCACAGTGAATAAAGGTGAAAATACCGAACAGAGATCGATATCAAAAAATCTACATACAATAAAAATTGTGAAGATGACATAAAACATGCCCCCCCCTACCTGCAGGATTTCTAGAGGTGGGATCAGGAGTCTAAGAGTAAAATAACTTTTTTTGGTGATAATTGAAACTATAAATAGATGTTTCAGAACCCTTACAAATATTCAATGAATGAATTCAATGACTTGTTATTCATGAAATTTGGTCTTTTGTTTGCCTTAATATGGAGGTCATAAAAATGGTGGCTGGGCTGGGATATCTTATCATACATTGAAAGTTATATTATTTTTAATAGTCACGCTTAAATAGCGATACAAACCAGGAAGTTTTTGTAATACCAAAGAACAAATGCAAAAAGAATCCATGGTAAAAATGGATGCTCCCATCAGTTCATTAATATCCCAATAATATGTCTGTCTTAATTACCTCCGTGTTTCTTACTTTTGGCTTATTGTGCAGAGCACAAGGTATGTAGTGGTGTGTTGAATTTTTTTTGGTGTGGTGACTATATCTACACATGTATTGACTTTCTTTCCATGTAGTACTGTTGTTTCATTTAAATCTAGTTGAGCCTGTTTAATAGATATTTTAAAACATATTTTTGTGGAAGATTTGCAGACGACTTTTGAGCCCCATGTATTGTTCAGGCAGACGGAACATTCAGTAGTCAATTAAGTATTAAAAATGCCTTACATTTTGTATAAAACAAGTTATTTCAAAGGCGACCCAATGATAGGTGATATCTGCTAACAAGGTCATTATATAGACCATAGAAATTAAAGGTACTTGGACACAAATTTGAAGTCAATATTTTCTCTATAATATTTTGACTAATATATTTTAATAGCATTTCACTCAAAAATACATTAAAAAATATAATTTCATTTAAAAGTTATTAAAACTTTATAAATTTTTTGACGGGTTTGATTGACACATCCTTGCGCGTGCACTTTCACAAATTTTTACTTTATTCTTAATCCTTAAGAAAAGTGGCAATCTTGTTGTGTATAAATGAAAAAAAATTAAAACTTTTATCCAGAAAAACAATTTTATCCATAGTAGAAATGTAAGAAAGTAAAACTACTTCACAAGTATCGTCATTCCGAACTAAGAGTTGCGTACAGAGTTTAGCAAATAACTTGTGTTATGCACACAGTTTTTGTAAACAAGGAACGAGTTCTGTTATTGTTGATGTTTATAATTTACCGGGTGCGTTCAATCATCACACTCTGCTTACCACAACTGCACGGACTGACAATATATTGTGTGTTTGTTTTGCTTTCCAACATGTCTACTCTGAATTTACTGGATTATAGCATTAATATTTTTCATTTATACACAACAAGATTGCCACTTTTCCCAAAGATAAAGAATGAAATTAATTTGTGAAAGTGCAAAGATGTGTCAATCAAACCCGAACAAAAATTTGAAATTTTAATATTTTTAATATGAAATAATATTTTAAATCAATTTTTGTGTGAATGCTTTTAAAATATATAAGTCGTAATATTATAGAGAAAATAATGACTTTATATCTGTTTCCAAGTACCTTTAAGAAATGTCCATTTTGAACAAGGTAGTTAAAATCCCTGTAAAATTATCTTATCAGTGAGAAGACTACCTTTCTTTAAAATTGACCGTACTGGGAGCAAAACTCTTGAAAAGCGGATAAATTAGGAGACGTAAATACCACAAGCAGATGAAAGAAGGGTAACACTACATAAATAAGAAAAGTTGACCATGGATGGGAAAGTTGGATTCATCTTATTTGTCATACAATTTCGTTGTTAATTAACCTTTATCGTCACACAGTAAAACAGCTTAAATGAAACATATGGTATCCTCTGTGGTTTCATTTATTTCATGTTTATTTAGATATAAAGAGTCCACAAAAAATCGTCGATATCCGAATATCAGTTTGAGGGCCCAACTAGTGTTTTTGTCTTCTCATGTAGACGGTTTTGAATAAATTCTGCTTCATAGAAATATACTAACTTGGGTAAGGCAGGTTAGGTTATAAAAGAGCCCATTAAATGGCGATCAGGATTACAAGAGTTTGTTGTGAAACGATTTTCGAAGACTACTTTTAAAACATCACCCCAAAAGGCTTAGAAAAATGGATAATTCTTTGAATTTTTACTCCTTAGTCTTGGAATAGATTTGGAAAATATTTGTTTATACTACAATAAAATTACAAATATATACAAATCACACTCAGTGAAGGTTTACAGATGAAAACAAATTTCAGAAAAAATGTTATCTTACTGTTAACGAGTAATACACTGTATAAACTAATTTACAAAAATAAACCAAGCCAGGTTAATTTTATGAGGATAAGCAGAATGGTAAAAATCAGCCTATATAAATTTTCTTATTTTCACCATTTTACGTTTTCATTAAGGAACAAAAAAAATTCTATCAATTGTCCTTAAAAGAAAGATTAATTTATTTTTCATAAATTTTTTAATTACTCCAATTGAGAAAGGTATGACCTTGAAATGACCACGACAAGCAAGGGAAAAGCTCACTTGAGCCTTGAGCTCAACTGAGCTAAGTAATCAAATACAAATTGTACTGGTAAATTACCTATATTTTCACACATTACAGTTTTTGTCCATAATTTGACAATCATACCAAAAGACAACCCTCTTACGCTGACTGAAGGAACAAAAACTACAGTCACGTGTTCAGTCAATAACAATGCTTACCCTCCTCCCACAATACAGTGGTATATCGGGGATACATTGGTCAACGTGACAGGAAGAAATGTGGAACTCATGGCTGAGAGACACCATGATGGAAAAGTGTTACTCTGCATCGCCACCAATAACAACATATCGCTCAATGGATCAACAGTCTTTAATATTCTGTGTACGTAGGGTTACATGTCAATTCATATCATTATTCAGTAGCATGATTAAACTTTTATAAAGAATGTAAATGCACTCATGTTGAAGACATTGTTTTAT